CTTATCCACGCAAAATATCACAAATAGCACTTTAGAAAACTTCATAACCCTAAAACGGTGACATAGTGAGTTTGTTTCATATAAATAAATGTCGTCCTTCATGTGTCACGCGTCTTTATATCTTCAGTGATCAAGTCTGCCTCTCGGCAACAGTAATTGTTTTTTTCTAGAACACATATTCAAAAGTCGACGTGCTTAGTTCACGTTACTTTTTCATGTCTTTTTCTTCTAAATACGATAAAGAAATAATTTTCGTTGTACGCTTTCTAATCGTTAACAAAATATGCAAAATCCGACTGTTGATTAGAATTTACTGCTATGATATGATTTCATTCAGGCTCATCGTAGAGTCGTTAGTCTACTTTAGTCACACAGTCGAATGCTTGATAAAACAAAAACAACATGAAACATGAAACTACTATAGTGTATTCTTAATAAAACAAACTGCTATAATGCACTTTTTGACTGCGATACCTTGAAGGTGTCGCTAAATGCAGCATGAAACTACTTTATGTCAATCAAAGTTTAAACTTTTTTGACCAAAGCTCCTCATGTATTTCAACAAAGCTAGTCACCCAAAACATATATAGCTGAGACCGCAGAAGATCTTGGGAAATACTTCATGATCCAAGTAGCCAAGTGATCTGGGGATAAACGATTAGCCAATCTATCAAATCGCGAATCACTTTTTTGGGAAAATAATCTCATGTGTCTTTGCGCGTCTAAATTATTGATGTGGAAAACAAAATGGCGGACAAGGAAAATACAAACGGATAATGTCATTTAGCCGATATTTTAAGGCTTTAAAATGTTTCTGCTTTAAATGTTGTTCAGATGGTACTAGAGACATTTGCTTTCATCGGAAGGTTATTTTCCATCGATTTTATTAATAAACAGTGAACCCCTAAGCGCTATTGAAGAAGCTGGCGAAAAACTTTCCGCTCGATCTCTTGATAAGATTTAACCTCAACCTCCACATCTTTCAGTGCTCTTGGGTCTTTAAAAATCTCCAGGATGCTTTAGAACTTTAGTTAAGCCTCATATCTATTATTGATAGTGTCTCATTTTCAACAAGAAAAAGTTTATTTACTTCAACAAAGTCGCATTTTTTTATCATTTTTCAAGATGCCGCCACCAAAATCAAGTGAATTGAGCGTGCAGTGGTTAATGGGATTGATTCATTTAAAAAAAAAAAAAAAAAAAAGGAAAACCATGCTTTACGCGCCCAGTCAGTTCACCTGGATAGCTTTTGACATAAACTGCAGTTTGAGGATGCTCACAGAAGCTGGAAATGTAACTGGTAAAAGATGTCAAATCCAGCAATATAGTTATGAAGCAGTATAAACATGGAAAGTGTATCTCCCGATAATCCTCGTTGGTCTCAGCTTTGTACCTTTTCAGGGATCTAACGAGTATATACTTTATGTGCAATCCAATGGTACGCGCAGAATTTTCCGTCGCGAAAGGGTAGTGATAGGGGTCAATCAAAGTATTTCCATGACCTTTTCGAGACACTTGTCTATGGAAGGTCATGGAACATCCAAAACTATTTCGTCGGCACGACGATTCTGCGCGTACTGTATTAAGAAACATTGTACAGTCCTGTAATGTTATTGTTATATTATATTCATAGTTTAATAGGTATTGTTAGCTATTATGCTTACGCATTCACATAATCCGTTATCATGAGTCGTATAGCCTTCTCTATCTCGGCTCCGTCGTCTCGGAATGGGTAATAGGGTAGGCGACGAGTGTCATCTACTCCTCTTCGCTATAAAAACATTCAGATGTTTAGAACAAGATACAAAATTTACGGGCTAATAAGTACAAATTGCACGACATTATTTGATAGATAATTCTGCGGCACGCAGCATAAGTGGGGGTAATGGATGGAGCTGAGGAGGCAGCCCGAARCTGCCGGCAATATACCCACAAAGGATGTGTGCCAAAGTGATAATTTGTCATAAATACTATGCAATATCCCAGCCTATTGCTTTCTCTCGGCTGCATTATATCAAAAATTGCTGAGAGCAAAATCATACACGCCGGCTATATTATCACAAATGCTGTCAGCTATTTCAGTAGACTGCATTATTTATTTAATTTCTATGGATATAGACCCTAATATTATGATACTACGGCGCCATTGCTGGATCAACGAAAATGGTAAGCAAATAAAACCATCAAGTTAGTGTTTCAAAACTTTCCAGAGCCTATTGAAAATGCAGGCAGCCGTATCGCAATGAAATAGCATTTCCACCTGCTCTCTTAATGCAAACACGATCCGAAATCAAAACAATGTGTTGATGCCTCCAACCGTTTAAATAATTAGGAAAACAATGGGCGAACAATGAATGGTATAATTATTTAAATGCAAACTTCCATCTTCCACTCCCGAATAATGATATGTTGGGTTCTATGTTACCTTGATGTTGTTTTCCAGCTTTATGTCACCCCATTCAAACATCTTCGCAGTCTTGGCTACAAGTTCGTTGGATCCCTTATAACCATAAGCGAATAATTTATCAAGCTTTAGATTATCAGCCAACAGAACTGGTCCACCATATGTGTTGGCCACGAGCACTCCTCGGCAGTGGTACCTCATGATGACGTAGAGTGGGTGCTGATAAGATAACTGTCTCTCCACACTTACACACAATCCTTCGGCTATGAAGTGAACTTTGCTAAGATGTTCTACAATCTGGCTGACCTCAAAGTCTGTGAGCTGAACATTGAGTTTGGCTAAGGTCCACAAGTCACCGTCGTTTGGGGTATAGACAGGAGAACCTAAGAAAAACGGTTAGTAAACAAGTTGTTTCAATAGATCCATGCATTTCAACGTCATGCACCGCACATAATACGGACAAAAACCATTGCATGTCTAATGATTGATATACTGTAGCATGAAGCGTTCTAACAAACCAAGACCATTCCTGGCAGCGATATTACTGATTCATAGTAAATTTGCCAGATTTGCTGATAGAGTAGATCATCAATCTAAGAAATAATCTCTAATGGTAATTTTTAGTTCTCAAGGTTTTTCATACTCTGTTTATGGTCCACTTGAATTGCAACAGGCAGCAGTCTTGCCTCAGAGGAAGAATTCTTGGATGGTACGGATGCAAAGAGAGCAATCGGAGACATGAATTTCCACATCTTTCTTTCAGGATCCTTGTCTACCTCATCGGCCATCGTCATCAAGTCATCGCCATAAGGGTGGTGTAGGACATAAAGGTGTCCTTCTTTGATGGCCTGCAATAGATCAAAGTCGATCGTAATAGAGCCATCGGGACTCAGAGGCCTCAAAGGCCTCATAGGACAATGATACCTATCTTAAGCCGTTCCTTATTAAGCGGATACTCTAATCTGCTTTGAACGGACAGGTGATTGCACGGTCCCGCTTCCTTGTAAAATAGACCTCTACTCGGTGGATATCCTTCATTAAGCGCTCGCCAGGCACATCTTTCGTAGGTATTTGCTTCAAGTTATACTTAGTTATTATATGCTAGGCCGTACCTTCCCCCCTCCCCCGCGCAATAATTTTTGAACTACATTGGCTAATACTGAAAATGTCATATGTAGCACGGGGCGACAGGATTTAGTGATTAAAAAATATACACTATCATATAACGAAGCCGGTCTTCTCGTGATTGATAAAGCATAGAGAATACTACTAGATTTAAATAAAGCCATTTAAGGGCAGCCTACGACCAACTAGTTATGGAGGGTAAGGGTTAGGAAAGGGTTGTTGCAAATGAACATTTGGCCGTCTTTCGATCAATGGTTGTAACTTAAGACCTAGAGACCCCCCACCCCCAGCCAATTTGTTTTTAACAGAGCTCCCGCGCGGGCCGAAGGCCCATTGAGAGTTGAGTTTTCATGGCCTGACTACTACGTAACTTCCGTCCGTATACGTACGTCCAATTACACAACCCGAGGGATCCCGCTTGATGCCAAAACAAATATACTAACAAACCCGGCTCTCACAGGCACAGAAAACATCGCTTTAGGAAAAATTTAAGCCCAACAACAGGGAAAAAAAGCATCTAGTCAAAGATGGATCTAGAACTATTGTTCAAGAATTCAGGTGTGTGTTTTTTAGAGAGCAGTTGTGTAATATTTTTACCTTTGTAAAAAGCAGTTTTTTTTCATCAAATCGACAATTTATCAAGGACTTTCTCAGCGCAAAACGTTTCATATTTTTATAGGTAATTTAAAAACAGTATATATTACAAACTATATTCACGCTTTATTTAGCTTATAAATCTTCAATAATATTGTTTTTAGCCAACTATCGCATTAGGATATTTAGTACGTACATGAAAAACAGTTTCGTTCGCTTCCCATCGGCAAAGCAAAGAAGACTTTTATTCAATAGTTTTAATATTTGTATAGATAATTTATTTAAACATAGAAAGAAATATAAAACGGAATACATATTTTGCACTAATAAATTTAACTCGGTTTTTGTGAAGTTTCATTTAGCTGAGTGTAAACTTTATTTTTCGAAAATTTTTATCGTTCTTGATTTTCACATCTTGTTCAAACATTATAGCAGATAAAAACTGGTAAAATTAAATCTCAAAATCCAGTAAGCTTAGTTTTTAAGATTCTCGAAAAACAGTTTATGCTCGTATGAAAGTAATGAAAATATTTTAATGAAGAATTAGGATCAGAAAGTTATTTTTAAGTATCTTGTTGTCGCTGCAGGGTCTCGCAAATTTGTCTAGTTTAGGCGAGTAATTGCAAGCTTACTTTCTTCTCTTTAATGCTACCAAATATTTGTTTAAYTAATTTTGCTGCTTCCATTTATGTGTTTAATTTTTATTGGGGAGAGAATACGTTTCATATAAAAAGATAAAACTCTTCATATGGATAACCAAAAATTTTTATGTTAAAGAAGTGGAAGAAAAGTTAAATTGAGCTTATATTTTGCTCAACTTTTTAACCACTTCTTTGATCGACGAGTCCTGTTTTGTCCTTAAAAAGTTCTAGAGTAAATTTGGATTTTGATAAAAAACAACCAAAGTAAATTTCACTATATTTTACTATATTTTATTAAATTATCTGTAGTTATTTTTTTCGCATTTTTTTCCCACCGATTTTATTTTCACCTGCAAGTTTTATCCAGATTTGGTTTCCTGTGCCTTTTTGGGAGCTCCGCATTTAGGCAGTGCCTAACTTATATATTATCTTGCTAAACCAACCGATTTTAGTGCGCATGTTATCGGCATTGCCTTTTAGAAATATTGAACGCTTTCGACGTTTCCTTACCGTGTCAAAGAGCATTCCATTCAATGCTTTTGAGACAACGCTCTCCCATTCAAACTTTTCGTTCAATGTTGATTTCAATTCATTCCAGTTTACTCCCACTATATAGAAAAAATAGAATGTCTCCTAAAATCAATATAATTTATGTTTTACTGCTAGTATACCATAATGTTCCAAGAAAAATATTATTCAAACTTTCATGTCCTTGTTTTTCTCTCCCTCGATTCGAGGATTTGCTTTGGGTCATTTGGTTGTCTCCTCTCTCATGCAGCAAATCCCAGCCTACTAAACCGGGCAAGTTTGATCTAATAGTTAGCCGTGACTTTATTAGATCGGCCCGCTAATGCATGGTTTTCTAAAATTTGACAAAATCAGTACATTCTGATGATAAAGGCATTACCTTCACCAGAGAAAGTTATCTTATTTAGATTCAATGGATTGGTTCCAGCCAGTCTTTGTTCAGCAAAATGTTGATCTGACAACCAATCAGTCTTGGATTTGTCAAATGGCTCTTGATCTGATGGTATCTTTGCGTAGCCCTGAGTAAACCGAACGAAAGACATTTTAGTCAACTGCTTCAAATCAAACAAATCAGTATTTCAAACTGTTCAATTTAATTGTTCAATMAAGTATTTATTGTATTTAAGGTCAGTTTCTATACATGTCTAGTAATGACCAAATTTAAGTGTAACTTTTTTTCTGTTATTATGGATTCAGGACGAATTTGATAGGCAGATGTTATCGTACATCATTTGCCTAGTTTAATACGGTTATGTGCCCCTCACCCCTAAAATCAAAAAAAAAAACTTACATGTAAAAGAAGCTTCGGTTTTCTTTTAAAATGCTCTGCAATAATCGAGAACTCATTCATGGTCGGAATTGTTGGAGCAAAGACTTTCGACAACATGTACGAAGATCTCGCTGCTTCGTTAAACACAGCGAGCCCCCGCCATTTATCTSCATGGAACTTCAGGAATGGATCTTTGATTAGTATAGCTGTGAGACTAACAATCCCATGCTTGAGACGAGCAAATGGCATCGATTTGGATGGTTTCTCGATTCCATAGTGTACTTGATGGGTAAACAGGGAAGTACCACGGAACGATTTGCATGGCGAATACCACGGGACATTTTGGGGCAGGGATATTGGACACAATCCAGCTTGGCAGCTGAAAACAAGAGAAAGGAAAAATCATATCCTTAAAGGCAATAGTCTTTATTTCTTACTTCGTATGCTCGACAAAAGAATTTAATTCTGGAAAATTCCTAACCGAAGTCCCGGATTTTTTTTTTCACGCATGTGCGCATTATTACAGACCACAAAAATAATACAAATATCGCGGACTGTTGTGTAACTGATATAAGCCGTCATAAATACCGTTGCTTTCAAAAAAATGGGCATTGAAGATTTGAAACACAGAGGAAATAATAACGGAATCATTATTTATGCAGTTGGGTTAATTCAAACGATACTTTACTTTTGTTAAGTTGTTAACGGTGGAGGGGGCGCATCCCCATGGAATAGACCTCCTCGGCTCTTACGTAATGTTTTCCCATTTCAGACCACGTGTCATTCTCTAGAGCATCATTTCTTTGTTTAAGGTTTGCGCTCGGTTGCAGATGAGAAGACACATGAATAATGGTACAACTCAAACAAAGAATATTATTCTCAAGGGAATGACACGTTTTCTGAAATGGGACAACATTACGCATCACAGTTATGAAGGTTTGATAACGACGAATGGTTCAATTTACGGGGGTACCGGGGGTACCGGCATAAATGCCGTTGCCTTAAAAAATGGGCTTTGAAGATTTAAAACGCAAATGGAATAATTACGGAATCATTATTTATGCAGTTGGGTTGATTAAAACGATACTTTACTTTTGTTAAGTGGYTAACAAAGCTGATTGATTGATTGATAACGGTGGAGGGGGCGCAGCCCCATGGATTGAATGGACCTCATCCGTTCTTACGTAGTGTTTTCCCATTTCAGACCACGCATGTCATTCTTAGAGTATCATTTATTTGTTTTTAAACAAAGAAATCATAATACTCTGAGTAAAAGGTTTGAGCTCGGTTGCACATGAGAAGACACATGAATGGATACAACACAAACAAAGAGTATTATTCTCAAGGAAATGACACGTGGTCTGAAATGAGACAACATTAAGCTCGAGCACTCCAATGTCGAGGAGGTCTATTCCATCACAGTTATGACGGTTTGCTAACAACGAATGGTTCAATTTACGGG